TTCTGTCTTAAGACTTTTTGTTCCTCCATCTGAAACATTTATGTCTTAAGACTTTACGTTTCTCCATCTGATACATTTGTGTCTTAAGACTTTATGTTTCTCCATCTGAGACATTTCTGTTTTATGTTCCTTCACCTGATACATTTCTGTCTTAAGACTTTTGTTCCTCCATCTGATACATTTCTGTCTTAAGACTTTTTGTTCCTCCATCTGAAACATTTATGTCTTAAGACTTTACGTTTCTCCATCTGATACATTTGTGTCTTAAGACTTTATGTTTCTCCATCTGAGACATTTCTGTTTTATGTTCCTTCACCTGATACATTTCTGTCTTAAGACTTTTGTTCCTCCACCTGATTCATTTCTGTCTTAAGAATTTATGTTCCTCCACGATACATTTCTGCATTCAGACTTTTATGACGTCCACATATAGAATGGAGATCGAGCTCAAGTGGTCTCATGGGGGCGGGGACTGCAGACCCCACATGGACATTTGTAAGTGACCTCCAGCTGCCTCGTTCTGAAGCCGCATGCATCCAGGTACTCTCTTATTGCCTCTAGCCTGCGCAAAGTATTCTGAAAGTGGAAAAATTGAGCAAAATCTTCATGGTCAACTTGCATCGAGTAGGAAAGGTCTACAGAACCGTATAAATCATTAGTCGCATGCTGATATTATTTACAAAACTAAATTTAACTGCATACCTAATCACTGACGTCACCTATTAAATAGAAAAAAATTGGTGATAGCAAACAAATACACAGATATAGTTTTCTTTCTGTTTTTAGTGAATATCCATGAAAAGAAAAAAAAGTTGCAGATTATGGTAGCAAGGAGGCATTAAAAATATTTTTTTGGCAAAAATCACAAAAGGAATGAACGCGTATAGCATTAACATGTAGCCTAGTGTAGCCAGTTTTATTAAATTTTATCATGTAGCCAGTTCTATTACATTTTTACTCTTCCCTTTGACAGATCCGTGCTGTGTCCTTTGGTCCGATTTCCAGTTTGATTTATGTCAGCCATTGCTTCTCTACAGTACAAGGAGCACTCAGAAAGTACACGCCATCAGTGTCCATGAGGAACCATCCAAGCAAATATTAGAGGAACTAGACCCGCCTCTGGCAATACCTCGAGACTTTGAAGGTTTCCATTTGTATATTTAAAACAAAGCATCGGAATTTCTTTAAATTGAATAGTAATGATTAGCAGATTCATTAACATTGTATTAAATCTAATTAGGCCTACAATTGTTTAATAAATAAGTAGCTTGGTAGATGTTCAGATAATAGAGTCTACTAAACATTTAGTTGTCATAATTTTGTAACAATTCTAATTCATGATAATTAATGAAAAATATCAAAACACTTTGATCTCTTTCTTAGAACTAATACGCTTTCTTAGTAGTGTTATTGGAAAGATAATTTTAATTTTTTTAAACTAATCAATAAATAAAGTGATCTTTCTGAAATGTTAATAAAATATGTTGTGCAGCACGATAATTCGATAAGATGATTAAAAATTGTCAGAATATTTTTTTTTCCAATTTCTAAAGATGACAAAATGTAAGCTAGATATAGGAATTAAAAAAAAAAAGATTGTGATAATTAAGTGGCAAAAAAACTAACAAACACGTCGACAGTTTATATATTTTTTTTGATATCAGTTAAAACAGCCAAGATTTTAAATTATCTTTTAAGCAACCTAGACTTTTGTCACTGACAGTGTAATTGTTTTTTTTTTTAACAAGTTTAATGTTCCAAATCGACGTAACTTGAAAGTTATAAGATCGGTAGAGTGGCATTGAGAACCTGATCAGTTGTATAAGCAGTTTGAGTTAAGAAAACAATATGGGTTAAGAATTAGAAACAAAACAAAATATTAACTATATTTTGGATTCCTCTGGAAAAGTTAACTATGCCAGTTTCTTATCTGCTAAAAGTCTATTTATAAATCATTTTGTTCTTCTGTCCCAGGTTGGTTTGCTGCAAGACCTAAAGGCGTGGACAAATTAAAAGTGCACAAAACAATTGAAGATGTCGTAAATTCAACTGCCATCAGGTTTCTGGTGACCTCCAAGTGTAGTGCCTTCACCACCATCAAATCCGTTGGTGGAAGTTTTCAGTACAAAGAAAGGGAAATCACTCCGGGTGAAATCTTTAGAAAAGTCTGCGTCATGAGAAACGAACCAGTCAATGATGCTCTTGCTGAGTTAATCAAAGATTACGGCCCTTGTTTAGCATGTTTAGATGAAAAGGATGATGATATTCTCATTCCTCTAGCCAATGAAACGTTGTGCTACGATTTGGCTGAGATGTATCCGGAAATGGGCGATCAGATTTTTAGAATCTCTTCCTTAATTGATGGCGGAAATTCCAAACTGCCTCGACTTCTTCAATTAATCTATGGTGATCCTCCAGTTCTGAATTACAGCTTTACGGGAATGTTGAGGTGCTATAGCATTTTTACAGAAGAAACTATTCTGGCTGCCATTTTAAATCCAGACAAATCTATGTGCCTTGAACTGACGACAGATTCAGTTACCAAATTTAGACTGGCTCTGAATGAGTCGGCCATTAAAAAGACAATCGAATACACAAATACATTTCATCTGTGCGATTCGTTTGGGTCTAAGTTTCTAACTGCCATTAAAGTGTCATTCTCGCTTAAACCTTCGCTCAGCGATAGTCAAGAATTGACTATAGCATCTGGTGACAGTGACACACAAGACACTAATGACAGTGATACAAATGGCAGCGACACACAGGACATAAACGCCGATTCGGAATTCGATGTAGAATGGCGTTCAGTGCCAGGAGATATGGTGCTACAGTCCAAACACTCTAGCTACAAGATAAACAATGCAACTATTTCAGAACAAACAAATTTTGAACATTTGAATGAATCTGTTCCAAATCTGATGAAGGACAAACTGTACGATGGGTCCATGCATCCAAATAATAGCCAGACTAACCGAGTCAACTGGAACAACAAAATGACGAAATCTCAGCTCAATAGGAAAAGCGTTGAAGACGAAATAGTGGATAAAATATCCAGCATTGAAATACACCACACAAGAGATGAGGATTTTACTAGCTCCAGAAATATCTTCTCCATTATTAATTCCAATCTTAGTTCATCAATGTCTATAGAAGCAGACGTTCATAAACCCAAATCTGGGGACAAAAACACTGTAGACAAAGAAAACCCTTTGCTTTATTTGTTTCATCCAATTAAAAACAAAGACGAAACCTCACTGGGTACCAAAGAAGATGTGCATGCGGTAAGCATCGATCTGGAAAATGTCAGCGACTCTACATTCGATCCCAGAGTTCCGTGTAAACCAGCCAAAGAATACGTAGAGAGTGAGGAGACTGGAGAGAGCTCTGATAGTGAGTTCATGGAAAGCTCTGAGCCCAGACAGGAGCCTGGACAATTCAGCTTTGCACCATATGAAAGATGTGAGGGAAGTCTTCAAAGTGAGAAAAATACTTGCAGTGTGAAGTCACCTGATTATCAAAACATTCAATTTGACGAGAAGAAATATGATAGTTATAATAAAAAGGGAATATTCTCTTTGACACCTACTCTTGATATACAACAGACATACAGTGATAAACATGAGCCTATGATTTCCGAGGAAAACGATAGTTCTGAAGATGAATATGATGCCGAAGATATTTTATCTTTGGCTGCGTCAGAGTCGGAAAAATTGTCAACTTTGAGCAAAAACGAACACCAATTTTCGGGAACATTTCCATTAGAAAAATCTGACAAAGTGGCAGAGATTCAAGAATACCGCGGCATACATGAGAGATTCGCATTACTTGGACGTCAAGTAAGTTGCGAGAGTAGCGCGTCTCAAGAATCGTTCGCGCGATTTAATAGTTTAATAGAAGAAGTGACGGCGTTGGTGAATACATCAAGCAGTCGTATCATTGGCGCTAGCAATAGAAAACCAAAAACTAGAAATAAATTATTACAAGTGCAAAGATCTAAATATGACAAAGGCTACACCGAGCTGGTAAGCTCCACAGAGACTATACCAGAAAGTTTACCCGGGGCTCTGTCTGGGGCATCATCAAAGAGTCAAGAAACTTCTAAGGCGGCATCCAAGCCTTTATTCCCAGAAACAGAACATTTCGTATCTAAGCCTTCCAGTTTACCATTACTAAATCAGGCTGCATTAAGCAACAAATTTACAACGAACTCTTTGGATGATATAACAGCATTGAACAGTGCAAACAAACATTCAGAAGAGCTACATTTAATTCCCAAAGTCAATGTCCATGAAAACTCTTTTCGACCTTTTGGTGTTCTCAAGAGATCCAGGGGGCAGCAGAACATTATTGAGGCTCTGGACTCAAAATATTTGTCTGCTATAGATCAAAGTCAAAATAAAGAAATGCCACCCAACGTTCTCAGTGTAATGAAAGACACATCAGATCATCCACCTGTTCTCCAGCGCAGTAATCCTTCAGGTAACCAAACGATACAAGATCATTTGGAAGAAAATGTGACTGACCCCAAGATTTACAGCAACATTTCGTTAATGCGACAGAAATCTGAAACAGTTGAAATAACTTCAAGTCGTACCAGTGTTGATAGCGACTTGACATCTGTCAGTAGCATGAACTCAGTACTGTATCACCCCAACCAGTCACATATCTCTAGTACTGAACTAGCAGCTGATAAATCCAATTTCTGGATCTAAGAATAAATTGTGTATAAATACCCGTGGCTTGATTACGGATAAATTGTGTATATACCCGTGGCTTGATTACGGATAAATTATGTATATACCCGTGGCTTGATTACAGATAAATTATGTATATACCCGTGGCCTGATTACAGATTAATCGTGTATATGCCCGTGGCTTGATTACAGATAAATTGTGTATATACCCGTGGCTTGATTACAGATAAACTGTGTATATACCCGTGGCTTGATTACAGATAAATTGTGTATATACCCGTGGCTTGATTACAGATAAATTGTGTATATACCCGTGGCTTGATTACAGATGTTTCAGTTAAACATTTCCTGCATAAAGACAACGTATAAAATGATCCCATATATCGCCTATATGTTTTTGTATATAAATATATGTAAAGTGCTATTTATTGATATTGTTTCATGCTGATACACTGTCATATTATAGCGCACAGAATTCTGTAACTTAACGACATATTAAAAAGTATAAAGTAATTATTAGCTTAGTTATGGAGCAATTTAGGCCTATTATTGCACATTATTAGAAGAGCTAAATGTAATTATAGATTATTTGTAAGGCATGTCTGTTGAGACAAGGAGAAAGTGACTTGGGGACAGGGAGAGTACTTTCACCTTCACCTATCCCTTAGTCTTTTGGACTGTTGGGACACCACACACGATCTGTCGACCATTTTTTTCCATTCCTCTCTATCTTTCGCAACCGTGTGAACTCGTTGTAGTCATTATCGACATGTCACTTTCAAGTGCTCTATCGAACCTTTGTATTTTATTTTCGGTATTCAAAAAAAAAAACAAACGCAGTCTACATATATCTAACGCATTTTTTAAAAATTAAAATTAAAATTTTTTTTCTTTCTCCCTAAGTCTACTTATTTTTAATATGCCTTAAGTCATTTCCACTTCCTTTTAGACGCGGTCTAAATGTTAAAAACAAATTCTATTAGCATTAATAAGATAGATCTAGAGACTTTTTCATACTTTCTTTCTTTTTTTTTTTTTGAGAGAGAGAGTGCAAATAATGATACTTTGTAACACTGTCAGAAAAAAACAACAAAAATAACATCTAATTATAATAGTATTGAAAAGACAAACCTAGATCTATTGTCAATTTGCTACATTCAAATGGGGTCAAATAAACGATTGCAATTAATAAAACCGAATTGATATTTCTTTTTATTTTGAGAACAAAATACCAAGAGAAATGTACAAATGGGTATGGGAATGTGTATTGGATGAAGTTGTATCATTTAGTTTGAATCAATCATGAATTTAATTAATTTTTAATGACACAAAATTTAACCAAATACAATGCAACACTGCTGCATTACCCTATAAATTTGTTTGGATTATCAGTGGACTTAACCTTTTTTGAGTGCAATCTGAGAGAACTATTAGAATTTGTCAAATCAATGTATGTATATTTCGTTATCTTATTAGTTACTTTCGATGGAACTTGTTTCACGCAACTTTCATGCTTATAGCATGCGCTATGCACTTTGGTCGAAAGGATTGTAAAAAAAAAAATGGGGGGGGGGGGGGGGGGAGAGAAGTGAGAGCATCTGGGAGAAGGTTTCCTTGCTGCCTTTTCAAAAGACTACTTATAAAAAAAAGGGGGGGGGGGGAGACTGATTTTTTGCTTTGATTTTGTTTATTTTAGGTGAGATTGTAATATTAAACCATCACTTGCCCCAGCACAGCCAATGGGGTTTTGAGTTTAAAATCCCCTTTCAGGAGGTTTTGCGATTACCCCCCCCCCTTTCATATAAAACAAAAAAAAATATTTCAAATAATTCAAACGAAAATCCCCAAATTCCAAGAGTATATTGTTATTAAAAAATTAACTATACGCGCGCTCGCACACACACACACATAAGGCGGGGGGGGGGGGGAGAAAAAAGTTCCCTCCAACCACTACCCCCCCCCCCCAAAAAAAAATCCTGGCTACGCCCATGATATGTGAGCAATGGGACGAGCATCGACAAAGCATTGGAGAGATATTTAGAATTATCGAAGAAAACAATCTAACATTAAAACCAACAAAAATTAAAAATTGGCATCAGTGAAATTTCATTTCAATTGGAAGCCTTTTATAGAAAATTTATCCCAAATTTTTCTTAAATAATTGAACCGCTAACAAATCTGACCAAAAAAAAAAACCCAATAATATAGTGTGGACGGAAGAATGTCAAGAAACACTGGACATAATTAAAACTTTCTTTTCTGGGGCACCGATTTTGAAACTACCTGACAATACTAAGGAATTTATTTGGCAACAGATGCATCAGCCATTGCAATAGGAGGCTGTTCAATGCAAAAATAGAATGGTGTTCCACATTCTGTTTTATACGTGAGTAGAAAACTGACAGCCGCTGAGTTTTAATATGCCACTATCGAAAATGAAGGATTAGCCATTGTATGGTGCATAACAAAATTAGTTTTCTATCTAATGGACAATACCGGGTAAAGACAATGTGATAGCTGACACATTACTACGATGTACCTAAGAAGGAAAAGAAATGGAAGTAACTTAATATAAGTAAGGTAAGTAGCTGAGTCACGTCAGTGTTGTTACAGTTGGTTTCTAAAAAGAATAATGTCAGTAAAATCATTTATCTTATATAATACAGACGTTACTTCAAAAAAGAAGATGATTACGTCCTACGCGTCATGCATTTAGTCATGCATATTAACCAATGACTTAAATTCTGCCAAGTCACTGGTTTTTCTGGCTAGCTCAGGCAACCCATTCCATGCTCTAATAGCACTAGGGAAGAAGGAGTATTTGTACAAATTTGTCCTAGCATATGGGACAAGGAATGTGCCTTTATTTTTGTGTCTTTCAGAGTATTTTATTAAATTTTGTTTTTGTATTTGAAGATTATGGTTCAGTGTTTTATGTATAATTGCTACTTTACTTTTGAGTCTTCTGTCCTGAAGGCTTTCTAAATTTAGTGATTTTACTAATGGTGTTACCCTAGTCAAATGTGAATATTCGTTTGTTATGAATCTCACTGCTCTATTTTGTGTTTGTTCCAGTTTCTTAATGTTTTCTTGAGTTGAGGGGTCCCACACGGTGGATGCATATTCTATTATTGGCCTAACCAAGGTTAAATAACATTTTAGTTTTATGTTCTTATTTGATTTATAGAAATTTCTTTTAATAAACCCTAATGCTTTGTTGGATTTTTTTATAGTTTCATCAATATGTGGATTCCATGACAGTTTTTCATTTATTATAACACCTAGGTATTTTGAGTTTTTAGTCTGTGTTACTGGTTTGCCATGAATAAGATAAGTGGAATTAATTTGTTTTAGTTTTTTTGTTACTCTTAACAACTGACATTTTTCTGGGTGGAAAGACATGCTCCAATTTGATTCCCATTTCTGTAATTCATCTAATTCTCTTTGTAAAATATCTGTGTCTTGTTTTGTTTTTATTGTTCTATATATTATGCAATCGTCTGCAAATAATCTGACTTTTGTTCCTGAACTAATGCAATTTGGTAAATCATTTATGTAAATTAAAAATAGTAGTGGACCCAAAACTGTTCCTTGAGGTACACCTGAGTTTACTGTTATTGGTGTTGATTTAGAGCCATTTATTATTACAGTTTGTTCTCTCCCTATCAGGAAATCTTTAATCCACTGATGCAGTGGACCGTTAATGCCGAAATATTTTAATTTTTTAAGCAAACTATGGTGGTGAACTTTGTCAAAAGCCTTGGAAAAATCTAGTAAGATAGCATCTATTTGTTCACTATTATCTAAACCTTTTGAAAAATCATCAATTAGTCCTATTAGTTGTGTTTCACATGATCTATATTTCCTAAAGCCATGTTGGTATGGGGTGAGGACATTATGTTTGTCTAAGTGGTTTATGATATTGCTACATATTATGTGTTCTAGTATTTTACATGTGATGCTGGTAAGTGATACTGGTCTGTAGTTTCCTCGATCAGATTTTTCTCCTTTTTTAAATAGGGGGGTGACATTAGCTTCTTTCCAGTCCTTTGGTACTCTGCCCTGGTTAAGCGATGCTTGAAAGAGTATTTTGAACACTGGGGCTAGCTCATTGCTTAGTTCTTTGAGTAATCTAGCTGGAATACCATCAGGTCCAGACGCTTTATTTGGTTTGGTGTTGGCTAATAGTTTTTTAATTCCATTTTCTTGTACTACTAAATCTTCTATGTTGTCTACTTGGTTCAAATTAAGAAATATGTCTTTGTCTCCTGGGGCTGAGAATGCTGATGCAAAGTATTTGTTTAGGATGTTTGCTTTAGTTTCATTATCATTATGTATTATGTTATGTTCATCTTTTAATGGCGCTATGCCTGTTGTTTCCATTTTCTTAGACTTAATGTATGACCATAGGTTTTTGTTGTTATCTTTAGATATTACATTGTTGATGTATTCACTCTGCAGCTGTCTGCTTACTTTTTGGGTTAGGTGTTTAATTTTTATATACTTTTTGTAAACTCTTTCTGCCTTGGTTGCTTTAAATTTTCTATATAGGTTTTCCTTCTGTTTACAAAGCTTCTTTAGTCTATTATTAAACCAGCATTTATTTATTTTGTTTGATGTGTATTTAGTTGGTATATGATTTTCTATAATCCTTTTAAGATGGTTTTTAATGAAATTCCAGAGGTCATCGACTGGTTGGTTAATGTCTTTTTCTAATAAGAATGTTTGTTGAAAGTTTAATGCAGCTTGGTGTAGTTGTGTTAGGTTACATTTATTCCAGAGTAAGATTTTTCTTTTGGTTTTTGTATTGGCTACTGCTTTTATCTGACTGTGTATTTTTATGATCTCATGGTCTGATAGACCAGGGATAATATCATAATCAACTACTAATCCAGGTCTGTTGGTTAAGAAGAGATCTAATGTGTTGTTTAATCTAGTTGGCTTTTTAATGATTTGATCTAAACTTAGGTTGTGTAAAGTTTCTATGAAAAGCTCATTTATGTCCTTAAGGTTTTGGTGTTTATCTATGGTTAGTGTTTTCCAATTTATATCAGGTAGGTTGAAGTCACCCATAATCCAAAAAACTGCATTTTTATTTGTCTCTTTAAGTGTAGTAATCTGATTACATAGTTCCTGCATGTATTCTAAACTAGAATTTGGTGGTCTGTAAATGCTGCCTATTATAAGGGATGTTGAGGTGGTATTAATTTTACAAAATGTAGATTCTATGTTTTTTGAGCTAGGTAAGGTAATTTCTTCTGCTATAAGAGTGTTTTTTATTGCTAAAAGAACTCCTCCATGATTATCAGCCCTATCTTTTCTAAAAATTTCATAATTACTATTGAAAATTTCTGCATTATAAATTTCAGGATGTAGCCAAGTTTCTGTTCCTGCAATTATGTCTGGTTTCTCACATTCTAATAAAATTTCTAAGTCTGCTGTTTTGTTCCTAATGCTTTGAAAATTTATTACTAAGGTTTTAAGGTATTTTGGTATTACTTCTTTGGTAGGTTTGTTTAGTGAGGCTGTTGTATTAATTTTAGTAGATTTAGGTTTAACAGGAGTGGATCTGGCTAGTGGTTGGTGAGTTGGTTTTGGGATGGTGTTTAGGATGTTGAATGGGTTAGAAGTGTCCGCATCAAAGGAATCAAACAGTCCTGATGTAAACTGAGGTAACCCACACGGTACACAGTGCCATGATGCATCTTTGTTGCCTAAGGCATAATACACAGGTGTATTCATATGGAGACATGATGCATGGTACCATTCATCGCAGGTGTCACATTGAATGGCTTTCTGTTTCATGGTGCATACTTTTTTGCAGATGTTGCATCTATCTTTAGATCTAGGCCCTGGATTTGACTCTACATCCCCTGCTATTAATATTAACAGTGAAAGGTATTTATTTCTACTGTGTCTGATTGAGAACTTCCATTTGTGATGGGTAATCTTCTTTAATGTTATGGATGTGTATGTTAGGTTATTTTTTAAGTTGCATTGATCTAAAGTGTGATGATTGATTATGACTGTTGTTTCCTTTTTAAGTTTAGTGTTGACTGAGGTAGATCTAGTTCTGTGTTCATTTTGGTGTGAACAATAATGAATAGCAGTTAGTGAATAGACATGTATAACAAGAAAACAAAAATAAGAACAGATTGAACTATTGTAAACGTACACGTATCTGTAGATCTAGTT